GAGAGAGAGACAGGTGATGAGAGAGACAGGTGAAGAGAGACAGTGAGAGACAGACAGGTGAGAGAGAGACAGGTGAGAGACAGGTGAGAGAGACAGGTGAAGAGAGACAGGTGAGAGAGAGACAGGTGAGAGACAGACAGGTAGAGGTCTCACAGCTGGCAGGGCGAAGAAGGAGACCCCGACCAGAGTGAAGTTGCTGCCAGCAGTCGGGCCGTTCCAGGTGATCGGAACTTGTCTCCGTAACCGATGGTCGTCAAGGTGATCTAAGACAGAGACAAACCAATCAGATCGCTCCGTTGCAGAGGACAGGTCGTCCACATGCAGTACAATAACAAACTGAAATATAACATCCTTAACACCAGAGGGAATTAAATAAAGAGATTCTTACTCATGTTTCGTGATAAGAATAGCAATTATTAAACAAATTGGTTTAAATGTAATAACTTAATTACATCACATTGGAAGAATCTAGTCAATTAAATGAATTGAATAAAGAAAATAACCATGAGAATCAGAAACCAAGTTCATATCTGTGATAAGGTTAAAGGAACATCTATTAGGAGTATCTAAGTGGTATCTATGATGTGTTAGCTATGTCTTATAAGTTCAAATAGATCTGTTCTCTTTTCCTGATTTGTCGATTGTTAGGTATTTATTTTAGAAAACAATCCCTTCGATATTGTTTTTATTTTTCAGAGAGTTTAGACTTCTTATCTTCACGGTCATCTGTATATTTGTCTAACTCTCTAATGTTGGTTTATTTCTATTTTAGAATAGTCTATTTCTTACTTTCTCATTATGTGCAATGCCTTGTTTTGTTTTATGAGGCTGGAACACATTTATTTTCTCCAATTGGGATCAATATCTTATGATTAATGTAATACACTCACCAGTCCCCACCAGAGGGCGTCTGCATACGTCTCAAACTGTTCGTTGTCCTCTTTCTCTGCCAGATACACCAGGAAGCTGGCCAGGATGAGACACAGGAAGCCGATGTACCAGGCGGTGATCAGCTCCTGAGACACACAGGTCATGTGATCAATACAGGACCAATGGAGATCATGTGATCAATACAGGACCAATGGAGATCATGTGATCAATACCGGACCAATGGAGATCATGTGATCAATACAGGACCAATGGAGATCATGTGATCAATACCGGACCAATGGAGATCATGTGATCAATACAGGACCAATGGCGATCATGTGATCAATACAGGACCAATGGAGATCATGTGATCAATACAGGACCAATGGAGATCATGTGATCAATACCGGACCAATGGAGATCATGTGATCAATACAGGACCAATGGAGATCATGTGATCAATACAGGACCAATGGCGATCATGTGATCAATACAGGACCAATGGAGATCATGTGATCAATACAGGACCAATGGAGATCATGTGATCAATACAGGACCAATGGAGATCATGTGATCAATACCGGACCAATGGAGATCATGTGATCAATACAGGACCAATGGAGATCATGTGATCATACGGACCAATGGAGATCATGTGATCAATACAGGACCAATGGAGATCATGTGATCAATACAGGACCAATGGAGATCATGTGATCAATACAGGACCAATGGAAACCCTGCTGACACAGCGCTATCTGTTCTCTCTGTTGACTGATTTGGACTACCATTAGGAGGGTTGGATATAGAGAACACAAGATGAACATTATTATCTTCAAAATCGACCCAAAATGCATGAAAGTCACAGAGAGAACAGATATGACCATTTTCAGGTTAAAATGTCGGACATGTATTCAGCATCCTCAATAACCCCCAAAACCACTCCAAAACTGTCCAAATCGGCCAAGCCATTTTTAAACTATTGTCAACATAGTTTATTTATGCTAATAAACGCAACTTATGCTAACTGTGCTAATGTCCTCCCACATATGCAGGTTATCATCCGGCAGTTTCTATGAGCTGGAGACCCTACTGTACATTTCTAACATAACACTTGGGGTACTCAACATTTCCAGGTTCACAGGCAGACTATATGAGCTGCTCATAGACTAGATTCCATTATTTGTCCCTTTCTTTAAACCTATGAAAGAAGGGCTGCCAAACATACAAATGTTTACATTCAATGTTCTCTGTTATATTTCCGTGATCTTTGAGATTAAAACAGTTGTGAAATCCTGAATGTCCTCTTCCAACATGAGAGTAACGTGCTAACAAAGTATCCCAACTGTAGCTGTGACATGACAGGATGTCTGATTACCTAGAAGAGCATCAGGACTGTTTGAGGCATATGATAGCTATGGGATTAACATGATGATTCAGCCTCTATGGAGATAGACATATGACAAGCATGATCATTTCTGACGTGGAGCTAATCTGAAGTAAACATTGAATACTGCTTTCTATTCCTCCATCTTGTGACTGTGTAACTCCCTCTCTTGGATATCAGCATGTCTCTAATCTAATCGATAGATTTATGATCGATAGATTTATGATTAGAAAATGATAAAAGTAGGGCAGACATGTGGAGATTATCCGGCTGAACAAAACGTGATCCGTCTCTTCAATGTGTCTCAACCACAGACCTTATTTCCAGCTATTTTCCTAAACCCTATGGAGAGATCCCATTGGTTTTTGTTGAAGGAACCGGAGGTGGTAACATGCTAACTTACTTCCGGGTTTTAGGACGCGTCACTGTAGCTCTCTATTGTCTTCATTCATAGCTGTTTATTGTTTTATTGCCCCCTATAACGTATTGTTCCTAAATAGGGTGGTAATAAGACTTTATTGACCCCTTTGTTCTTGCGATATAATATGGTTACATGACATTTAAGGATGTAGAGGAGGGTTATAATATGTTATTGACCCCTTTGTTCTTGTGATAATATATGGTTTAAAGGGGTATTTGACATTCCTCCTCCCTCCCCCTTCCTTTCCCCCCACCCCTGCTGACCCTATGTGACTCTGTCCCTGTCAGGTGTCAGAACAGCTGTTATGGGGGGTGAGAAATCAATCACTCAACATGTCATAAATACCAACTTGACATACACCCTATCCTTTCAACTACGTACCTTGCTGTGAGCGTAAACAACAGATCCCAGCAGCTTCCAGGTTCCCCCCCGACGATCCATCCGGATCATCCTGAGGATCTGAAGGAAGCGCAGAGACCGGATGGCAGAGGTAGCAAACACGTTCCCCTGGGTCCCTGCAGCCAGCACTGAGATGGAGGCGATCAACACCATGATGTCTGCAGAGGGACAGGAGAGGACTCTTTAAAGTAGAGACACTACATACTGATATACACCTGAACATCAGCAGGAGAGGACTCTTTAAAGTAGAGACACTACATACTGATATACACCTGAACATCAGCAGGAGAGGACTCTTTAAAGTAGAGACACTACATACTGATATACACCTGAACATCAGCAGGAGAGGACTCTTTAAAGTAGAGACACTACATACTGATATACACCTGAACATCAGCAGGAGAGGACTCTTTAAAGTAGAGACACTACATACTGATATACACCTGAACATCAGCAGGAGAGGACTCTTTAAAGTAGAGACACTACATACTGATACACCTGAACATCAGCAGGAGAGACTCTTTAAAGTAGAGACACTACATACTGATATACACCTGAACATCAGCAGGAGAGGACTCTTTAAAGTAGAGACACTACATACTGATATACACCTGAACATCAGCAGGAGAGGACTCTTTAAAGTAGAGACACTACATACTGATACACCTGAACATCAGCAGGAGAGGACTCTTTAAAGTAGAGACACTACATACTGATATACGACCTGAACATCAGCAGGAGAGGACTCTTTAAAGTAGAGACACTACATACTGATATACACCTGAACATCAGCAGGAGAGGACTCTCAGCAGGAGAGGACTCTTTAAAGTAGAGACACTACATACTGATATACACCTGAACATCAGCAGGAGAGGACTCTTTAAAGTAGAGACACTACATACTGATATACACCTGAACATCAGCAGGAGAGGACTCTCTTAAGTAGAGACACTACATACTGATATACACCTGAACATCAGCAGGAGAGGACCTCTTTAAAGTAGAGACACTACATACTGATACACTCTGAACATCAGCAGGAGAGGACTCTTTAAAGTAGAGACACTACATACTGATATACACCTGAACATCATGCAGGAGAGGACTCTTTAAAGTAGAGACACTACATACTGATATACACCTGAACATCAGCAGAGAGGACTCTTTAAAGTAGAGACACTACATACTGATATACACCTGAACATCAGCAGGAGAGGACTCTTTAAAGTAGAGACACTACATACTGATATACACCTGAACATCAGCAGGAGAGGACTCTTTAAAGTAGAGACACTACATACTGATACACCTGAACATCAGCAGGAGAGGACTCTTTAAAGTAGAGACACTACATACTGATATACACCTGAACATCAGCAGGAGAGGACTCTTTAAAGTAGAGACACTACATACTGATATACACCTGAACATCAGCAGGAGAGACTCTTTAAAGTAGAGACACTACATACTGATATACACCTGAACATCAGCAGGAGAGGACTCTTTAAAGTAGAGACACTACATACTGATATACACCTGCACATCAGCAGGAGAGGACTCTTTAAAGTAATTCTCACTCACCGATGACACAGAAAGGTTTCCTGGAGAACTTCAGTCTTCCTCTCCATCCTCTGTATCTGCAGCAGCATCCTGCAGCCCAGATCCTCACCATGTACTCCACCCCGAACACCACGATGGTGACCACTTCCTGTTTCACACAACAACAACAATAACAACAACTCTTCTAGAAACCCATCATTAACCATCAATCTGCTGAAGAACCCCCTTCAGTGATTCAAGTCCATCTTAAAGGACAGAGAACAAGAATCCATTGGTCGATGTGATTGCTCTTATAATTGAAATCGTTTTAAATTGTGCTAGTTTGTAATGTTTTATAATAGTTTCTTTTATTTGCACATTGACTGGTTAATGTGCCGTTTCATTTGTGTTTTACAGCTGTATTTGTCGGCCTGTATTGTTTTGTATTCATCTGTTGTAACTTTGTTCATGCTCTTGCCTCTTGGCCAGGGCGCTCTGGAAGAAGAGATTATAATCTCAATGAGACTTGTACCTGGTTACATAAAGGATGTATAGAGAGAGTCATTGTGTTAACCATGTAGTGTAGGACAGCAGGATGAAACTACCAACAGGCCGGACACAAATGATAATGAAAATATTATCACCATATCAAGAGAAAGTAGTAACAATAAAACACAAATATAATGCTTTCATCAATTCACGTTTATCTCTGTTTTCTTGCCAGATGTAATACAGAGGGACACAAACAAAAACTAGAACAGAAATAAACAAAACTGATTTAAAAGGCCTTGGATTTTTTACAAAATATGATCATATTGTTAAGGAATAATTCTTCTAGATATCTAACCTTTTGCTCTGTGACGTTTTATGATCTACTCTGACGTCTGTTATCTCCTTTAAGGAAAGGCCTTGGTGCCATATGTGTTGTCACCAGTTTGTGACCGGTCAACTTGTCTGGCACGAAGGGTACTTGTTGTGAGAACGCTGAGGCACTTCCTTATCGGTGTTTGTGGACTCTAAGATGTGAAATCCTTGAGGCCATGAGTGTCGGACGCAGGTGGTTCGGTGTTCCCAGCTGTTTAGTCTACTCCTTCAGAGATGTTGATTTCTCTCTGTGAACCTGTTAAAAGGTCTAGCATAGAGAGAGGCTCTTCAGAATTGACGTGGCAACTCTACCGTGTAGTCAGAACCTCTGACTCTTTGACTTGTGATGTGAATCCTCCGGCTGATACTCTGAATAAACCCATCAGTGTTTGACATCAAAGCTCCAGCTCTCACCGTGTCTCCTTCCTGAGTCGGTGACTCCATGCTACACAGAAGTTTCCCCCACACATATGTGTATTAATCATGTGATCTCAGCACTGATCAGTAACAGACGTGCAGCTGGTAAACAATGGAAGTGAAACGTTATTAACTGTGGTCACATGGACAGGAAGAAAGACTGTTATATACTTCCCTTTTCAGCGTGAGCACAGTCGGGATCCACTGACTGACTGAACCTGTGCAGTGCTCCAACACAGGGAGGATGCATCCTTATTGTTAATGACTTGTTTCATATGGAGACACTGACCTTTTCTTTAAGACTCTGATACGGTTAACAATTACTGGTGCAAGTGAGGAGGGGTGGTATCCATGTTGTCTGTTATAATACATCTGTAACTTCTTCCTATGTTGGATTAACTGGAACAACATGGATGTGTTGTTGTTGATGTGCTGTATTGTCCCCTGTCTGTTATTTGTTGTTGTTGATGTGCTGTATTGTCCCCTGTCTGTTATTTGTTGTTGTTGATGTGCTGTATTGTCCCCTGTCTGTTATTTGTTGTTGTTGATGTGCTGTATTGTCCCCTGTCTGTTATTTGTTGTTGTTGATGTGCTGTATTGTCCCCTGTCTGTTATTCCTTGTGTTTTTCTTGTAAAGTGTGAACAAGGTAAAAATACAGTTTTAAAAAAAAAGAAAGAATGTTCAATGTAATGTGAGTTTTCTTTCACTAAGAACAAACTGCGTAGACCTTTAGGGAACTTCCACTTGATTGACTAACTAAAAGAACCAATGACTAAAACTGAAAATCTCAGAACATTAAATCTCAGTTCCTCCTTTGAGATCGCAGAAACAAGGAAATGTATTTTTAGAGTTTTACCAGAATGTAGAGCGCGTCCTCTGAACTCTTCTCATACTCTCTGATGGTGGAGAACACAGAGAGAACCAGACAGGAGAACACCAGCAGGAACCTGATCGGAGAACAGACATTAAACCATCAGGAACCTAGACTCTAGAGAACAGACATTAAACCATCAGGAACCTAGAGAACAGACATTAAACCAGCAGGAACCCAGAGAACAGACATTAAACCATCAGGAACCTAGAGAACAGACATTAAACTATCAGGAACCCAGAGAACAGACATTAAACTATCAGGAACCCAGAGAACAGACATTAAACTATCAGGAACCCAGAGAACAGACATTAAACCATCAGGAACCCAGAGAACAGACATTAAACTAGCAGGAACCCAGAGAACAGACATTAAACCATCAGGAACCTAGAGAACAGACATTAAACCATCAGGAACCCAGAGAACAGACATTAAACCATCAGGAACCATCAGAGAACAGACATTAAACCAGCAGGAACCCAGAGAACAGACATTAAACCATCAGGAACCATCAGAGAACAGACATTAAACCATCAGGAACCCAGAGAACAGACATTAAACCATCAGGAACCCAGAGAACAGACATTAAACTATCAGGAACCCAGAGAACAGACATTAAACTATCAGGAACCCAGAGAACAGACATTAAACCATCAGGAACCATCAGAGAACAGACATTAAACCATCAGGAACCCAGAGAACAGACATTAAACTATCAGGAACCCAGAGAACAGACATTAAACCATCAGGAACCCAGAGAACAGACATTAAACTATCAGGAACCCAGAGAACAGACATTAAACCATCAGGAACCCAGAGAACAGACATTAAACCATCAGGAACCCAGAGAACAGACATTAACTATCAGGAACCCAGAGAACAGACATTAAACCATCAGGAACCCAGAGAACAGACATTAAACTATCAGGAACCCAGAGAACAGACATTAAACCATCAGGAACCCAGAGAACAGACATTAAACCATCAGGAACCCAGAGAACAGACATTAAACCATCAGGAACCCAGAGAACAGACATTAAACCATCAGGAACCATCAGAGAACAGACATTAAACCAGCAGGAACCCAGAGAACAGACATTAAACCATCAGGAACCCAGAGAACAGACATTAAACCATCAGGAACCCAGAGAACAGACATTAAACTATCAGGAACCCAGAGAACAGACATTAAACTATCAGGAACCCAGAGAACAGACATTAAACTAGCAGGAACCCAGAGAACAGACATTAAACCATCAGGAACCCAGAGAACAGACATTAAACCATCAGGAACCCAGAGAACAGACATTAAACCATCAGGAACCATCAGAGAACAGACATTAAACCATCAGGAACCCAGAGAACAGACATTAAACCAGCAGGAACCCAGAGAACAGACATTAAACCATCAGGAACCTAGAGAACAGACATTAAACCATCAGGAACCCAGAGAACAGACATTAAACCATCAGGAACCCAGAGAACAGACATTAAACCATCAGGAACCTAGAGAACAGACATTAAACCATCAGGAACCTAGAGAACAGACATTAAACCATCAGGAACCCAGAGAACAGACATTAAACCATCAGGAACCCAGAGAACAGACATTAAACCATCAGGAACCTAGAGAACAGACATTAAACCATCAGGAACCCAGAGAACAGACATTAAACCATCAGGAACCTAGAGAACAGACATTAAACCATCAGGAACCATCAGAGAACAGACATTAAACCATCAGGAACCTAGAGAACAGACATTAAACCATCAGGAACCATCAGAGAACAGACATTAAACCATCAGGAACCTAGAGAACAGACATTAAACCATCAGGAACCTAGAGAACAGACATTAAACCATCAGGAACCATCAGAGAACAGACATTAAACCATCAGGAACCTAGAGAACAGACATTAAACCATCAGGAACCATCAGAGAACAGACATTAAACCATCAGGAACCTAGAGAACAGACATTAAACCAGCAGGAACCCAGAGAACAGACATTAAACTATCAGGAACCCAGAGAACAGACATTAAACTAGCAGGAACCCAGAGAACAGACATTAAACTATCAGGAACCCAGAGAACAGACATTAAACCATCAGGAACCCAGAGAACAGACATTAAACCATCAGGAACCCAGAGAACAGACATTAAACCAGCAGGAACCCAGAGAACAGACATTAAACTATCAGGAACCCAGAGAACAGACATTAAACCAGCAGGAACCCAGAGAACAGACATTAAACTATCAGGAACCCAGAGAACAGACATTAAACCATCAGGAACCCAGAGAACAGACATTAAACCATCAGGAACCCAGAGAACAGACATTAAACCAGCAGGAACCCAGAGAACAGACATTAAAACTATCAGGAACCCAGAGAACAGACATTAAACCAGCAGGAACCCAGAGAACAGACATTAAACTATCAGGAACCCAGAGAACAGACATTAAACTAGCAGGAACCCAGAGAACAGACATTAAACTATCAGGAACCCAGAGAACAGACATTAAACTAGCAGGAACCCAGAGAACAGACATTAAACCATCAGGAACCCAGAGAACAGACATTAAACCATCAGGAACCCAGAGAACAGACATTAAACCATCAGGAACCCAGAGAACAGACATTAAACCAGCAGGAACCCAGAGAACAGACATTAAACTATCAGGAACCCAGAGAACAGACATTAAACTATCAGGAACCCAGAGAACAGACATTAAACTATCAGGAACCCAGAGAACAGACATTAAACCATCAGGAACCCAGAGAACAGACATTAAACCAGCAGGAACCCAGAGAACAGACATTAAACCATCAGGAACCCAGAGAACAGACATTAAACCATCAGGAACCCAGAGAACAGACATTAAACCATCAGGAACCTAGAGAACAGACATTAAACTAGCAGGAACCCAGAGAACAGACATTAAACCATCAGGAACCCAGAGAACAGACATTAAACCATCAGGAACCCAGAGAACAGACATTAAACCATCAGGAACCCAGAGAACAGACATTAAACCAGCAGGAACCCAGAGAACAGACATTAAACTATCAGGAACCCAGAGAACAGACATTAAACTATCAGGAACCCAGAGAACAGACATTAAACTATCAGGAACCCAGAGAACAGACATTAAACCATCAGGAACCCAGAGAACAGACATTAAACCAGCAGGAACCCAGAGAACAGACATTAAACCATCAGGAACCCAGAGAACAGACATTAAACCATCAGGAACCTAGAGAACAGACATTAAACCATCAGGAACCCAGAGAACAGACATTAAACTATCAGGACCCCAGAGAACAGACATTAAACTAGCAGGAACCTAGAGAACAGACATTAAACCATCAGGAACCTAGAGAACAGACATTAAACCATCAGGAACCCAGAGAACAGACATTAAACCATCAGGAACCTAGAGAACAGACATTAAACTAGCAGGAACCTAGAGAACAGACATTAAACTATCAGGAACCTAGAGAACAGACATTAAACCATCAGGAACCCAGAGAACAGACATTAAACCATCAGGAACCCAGAGAACAGACATTAAACCAGCAGGAACCCAGAGAACAGACATTAAACCATCAGGAACCCAGAGAACAGACATTAAACTATCAGGAACCTAGAGAACAGACATTAAACCAGCAGGAACCCAGAGAACAGACATTAAACCATCAGGAACCCAGAGAACAGACATTAAACCATCAGGAACCCAGAGAACAGACATTAAACTATCAGGAACCCAGAGAACAGACATTAAACCATCAGGAACCCAGAGAACAGACATTAAACCATCAGGAACCCAGAGAACAGACATTAAACTATCAGGAACCATCAGAGAACAGACATTAAACTATCAGGAACCCAGAGAACAGACATTAACAATCAGGAACACAGAGAACAAGACATTAACCATCAGGAACCAGAGAACAGACATTAAACCATCAGGAACCCAGAGAACAGACATTAATAAACCATCAGGAACCCAGAGAACAGACATTAAACCAGCAGGAACCCAGAGAACAGGACATTTAAACCTCAGGAACCCAGAGAACAGACATTAAAACCATCAGGAACCCAGAGAACAGACATTAAACTAATCAGGAAACCATCAGAGAACAGACATTAACTATCAGGAACCCAGAGAACAGACATTAAAACCATCAGGAACCCAGAGAACAGACATTAAACATCAGGAACCCAGAGAACAGACATTAAACCATCAGGAACCTAGAGAACAGACATTAAACCATCAGGAACCCAGAGAACAGACATTAAACCATCAGGAACCCAGAGAACAGACATTAAACCATCAGGAACCCAGAGAACAGACATTAAACCAGCAGGAACCCAGAGAACAGACATTAAACCATCAGGAACCCAGAGAACCAGCAGGTATTTACACGTATGCGTGGTAGATGAAGGCCCATCCTCTCGGCCTCTCCAGAACGTTGTACAGGAAGTTCTGCAGACGGCGATACAGAGCGTTTCTCTTGGGAGGTTTCTTCCCCCCCGACACACTGCTGCGCTGCCGCCGAGGGCCCTCCTCCACACCTGCAGGTACAAATACACACGTTATATATATACACACATTAACACCTGCAGGTACAAATACACACGTTATATATATACACACATTAACACCTGCAGGTACAAATACACACGTTATATATATACACACATTAACACCTGCAGGTACAAATACACACGTTATATATATACACACATTAACACCTGCAGGTACAAATACACACGTTATATATATACACACATTAACACCTGCAGGTACAAATACACACGTTATATATATATATACACACATTAACACCTGCACAGGTACAAATACACACGTTATATATATATATATACACACATTAACACCTGCACAGGTACAAATACACACGTTATATATATATATACACACATTAACACCTGCACAGGTACAAATACACACATTAACACCTGCACAGGTACAAATACACACATTAACACCTGCAGGTACAAATACACACGTTATATATATATACACACATTAACACCTGCACAGGTACAAATACACACATTAACACCTGCACAGGTACAAATACACATTAACACCTGCACAGGTACAAATACACACATTAACACCTGCACAGGTACAAATACACATTAACACCTGTACAGGTACAAATACACACGTTATATATATATACACACATTAACACCTGCACAGGTACAAATACACACATTAACACCTGCACAGGTACAAATACACATTAACACCTGTACAGGTACAAATACACACGTTATATATATATATACACACATTAACACCTGCACAGGTACAAATACACACGTTATATATATATATACACACATTAACACCTGCACAGGTACAAATACACACATTAACACCTGCACAGGTACAAATACACACGTTATATATATATATACACACATTAACACCTGCACAGGTACAAATACACACATTAACACCTGCAGGTACAAATACACACGTTGTATATATATATACACACATTAACACCTGCACAGGTACAAATACACACATTAACACCTGCACAGGTACAAATACACACATTAACACCTGCACAGGTACAAATACACACATGAACACCTGCACAGGTACAAATACACACATGAACACCTGCACAGGTACAAATACACACATTAACACCTGCACAGGTACAATTACCCATTAACACCTGCACAGGTACAAATACACACATTAACACCTGCACAGGTACAAATACACACATTAACACCTGCACAGGTACAATTACCCATTAACACCTGCACAGGTACAATTACCCATTAACACCTGCACAGGTACAAATACACACATTAACACCTGCACAGGTACAAATACACACATTAACACCTGCACAGGTACAAATACACATTAACACCTGCACAGGTACAATTACCCATTAACACCTGCACAGGTACAATTACCCATTAACACCTGCACAGGTACAAATACACACATTAACACCTGCACAGGTACAAATACACACATTAACACCTGCACAGGTACAAATACACACATTAACACCTGCACAGGTACAAATACACACATTAACACCTGCACAGGTACAAATACACATTAACACCTGCACAGGTACAAATACACATTAACACCTGTACAGGTACAAATACACACTATATATATATATACACACTAACACCTGTACAGGTACAAATACACACTATATATATATATATACACACACTAACACCTGCACAGGTAGAAATACACATTAAACATCAAATCAAAGTTTATTTATAAAGCCCAGTATCACAAAACACGTCTGTCTGGGCTTCACAGAATAACTAACACACATGACCGTGTACAATACTGTTACAATTACAAGAACATTATATAAAAAACATGAGAAACCTGAAATAAAACGAGATAAAAATAAAACGAGATAAAAAGACAAAATTACAGTAAAAAACAATAAAATGAAATACCATAAAATGTAGCACTCAAATATAGGGTAATCTATATACACACTAACAGCTGCACATGTACATGTACACACTAACAGCTGCACATGTACATGTACACACTAACAGCTGCACGTGTATATGTACACACTAACAGCTGCACATGTACATGTACACACTAACAGCTGCACGTGTATATGTACACACTAACAGCTGCACATGTACATGTACACACTAACAGCTGCACATGTACATGTACACACTAACAGCTGCACATGTACATGTACACACTAACAGCTGCACATGTACATGTACACACTAACATGTATACAAACTAACACCTGCATATTTTCATTGTTGAACTTTTATAAGCTATAAGGTTTGGAGCCATCAGCCAATCATATTCCAGCTCACTGTGAAGCTCTCTCCATCCTCATTGGTCCAGCAGCTGTTATTTTGTTGTGTTCATCATGATGAAGGTTCTCATGTTTACTGGAGATCTGCAGAGGAACCGCCTCTGGTTCCACGCATTACATATTCAATAAAATACACATTAATTATACTCTCACACACACACACACACACACACACACACACACACACACACACACACACACACACACACACACACACACACACACACACACGCTGTTTACCGGCTATCAGCAGAGCTCCGTCCCTGGACTCGGTCCCTCCGGATTCCAGTCCCACGAAACCGACCTTCAGCTTCTTCTGGTCGGCCTGAGCTCCGGGGAACACCCCGCCGTTCTGGGACTTCTGCACCATGACGGAGCGAGACACCGACCCTCCGAGCCGCCGCCAGCCGAGCAGAGAGCACCGAGGCCGGCCAGCAGGAGAGGAGAGACGGGGGAGGGATGGAGGAGAGACGGAGGAGAGATGGAGAAGAGAAACACCCGCAGAGAGAGAAACACAGATCTGAGATCAGCAGCTTCTCTCCTCACCGACTCCCCCCAGAAACAGGAAGGGAAATGACGTCACATGAGGTATTGATCAGATACAATACAACAGAAACAATAATAAATACACCAGATGATCAAAGGAGGAAGATCAGCATCACCATCATCCTTATCCTCATCATCATCATAATAATAATCATCACCATCATATATATATATATATCTTTATTAGGTATATTATTACTACTATTTGTATTATTTGTATTATTAAATGCAGATCATGTTTCTGAGCTTATTAAACATGTTACATCTTATTGCGTAACTAGTTTGTGTTTTTATGTTCCTAACTTGTTAAACCACAAAGAGAAATATGCAATAAATACTGAAAAATGATCAAATACAGTCTCGCAGTGTTTAATGAGCGGTGCGAGTGATATAGTGATCGGTGTAGAAAATGAGGCACATATTGCTTAAAGTGTAATTTTTTCAAATATTATCTGCAACCATTTCCTTTCACTTTCCTGCTTTTATTTTAATTCAAACCGGGTAATGCAGTTATATACTTTATATATCAGTATGTAGTCTCTACTTAAATCAAGTGTTAAATCAGACTTTAGTTCCACCTGGAGTAAATCCACAAGCTACCCTGCAGTATACAAAGTCATTCAAACTAGCTGCACCTTTACCAGCTTTGAGAACACTTTCATGATCAATCATTATAAAACATATCATATATATTATTCTGAAATGGACCAATCTGCACAATGACTACTTTTACTGTCTCTACTTTCACTATATTTTGATGAGAATACTTTTCTACTTTCACTTGAGGAACATTTTGAATGCAGTACTTTTACTGTAACAGAGTATTCCTACACTCTGGTACTTCTACTTTTACTCAAGTACAAGATCTGAGTACTTCTACTTTTACTCAAGTACAAGATCTGAGTACTTCTACTTTTACTAAGTACAAGATCTGAGTACTTCTACTTTTACTCAAGTACAAGACCTGAGTACTTCTACTTTTACTCAAGTACAAGATCTGAGTACTTCTACTTTTACTCAAGTACAAGACCTGAGTACTTCTACTTTACTCAAGTACAAGATCTGAGTACTTCTACTTTTACTCAAGTACAAGACCTGAGTACTTCTACTTTTACTCAAGTACAAGATCTGAGTACTTCTACTTTTACTCAAGTACAAGATCTGAGTACTTCTACTTTTACTCAAGTACAAGATCTGAGTACTTCTACTTTTACTCAAGTACAAGATCTGAGTACTTCTACTTTTACTCAAGTACAAGATCTGAGTACTTCTACTTTTACTCAAGTACAAGATCTGAGTACTTCTACTTTTACTCAAGTACAAGATCTGAGTACTTCTACTTTTACTCAAGTACAAGATCTGAGTACTTCTACTCAAGTACAAGATCTGAGTACTTCTACTCTCAAGTACAAGATCTGAGTACTTCTACTTTTACTCAAGTACAAGATCTGAGTACTTCTACTTTTACTCAAGTACAAGATCTGAGTACTTTTACTCAAGTACAAGATCTGAGTACTTCTACTCAAGTACAAGATCTGAGTACTTCTACTCAAGTACAAGATCTGAGTACTTCTACTCAAGTACAAGATCTGAGTACTTCTACTCAAGTACAAGATCTGAGTACTTCTACTTTTACTCAAGTACAAGATCGGAGTACTTCTACTTTTACTCAAGTACAAGACCTGAGTACTTCTACTTTTACTCAAGTACAAGATCTGAGTACTTCTACTTTTACTCAAGTACAACATCTGAGTACTTCTACTTTTACTCAAGTACAAGACCTGAGTACTTCTACTTTTACTCAAGTACAAGATCTGAGTACTTCTACTGTTACTCAAGTACAAGATCTGAGTACTTCTACTTTTACTCAAGTACCAGATCTGAGTACTTCTACTTTTACTCAAGTACAACATCTGAGTACTTCTACTTTTACTCAAGTACAAGATCTGAGTACTTCTACTTTTACTCAAGTACAAGACCTGAGTACTTCTACTTTTACTCAAGTACAAGATCTGAGTACTTTTACTCAAGTACAACATCTGAGTACTTCTACTCAAGTACAAGTACTATAACTAATAAATCAGATCGATGTATAAAACGTTAGAAATGAAGGTCAGAGTTCAGACTTTATTCAGAAACAAGATTCACATTCAAACATAAAAAGGCGGCAGTTTCGTTTCCATGGCAACGGCCGAGTGGAGCGCTGTGATTGGCAGGAGGTCGAGGCGATTCATTTAAAAAAATGTTAAAATATGTAAGCGGCAGCTGATTGGCTGGCAGTGACAGGAAGACAAATATAAACAAACACAAATTACGGCAGCCCAGAGAGCCCAAACAGAGCGGAGGTCACAGAGAGGTCAGAGGTCAGTAGGGTTGCCTCTTGATGAATCTGGAGAACATGGCGAAGGCAGCGATTGGTTTATCTGATGGAACCATGTGACCAGAACCCTGCAGGAGAACCAATCAAAAGGTCAAACTGGGAAAAAAAATGTAATCTCAGTTTTAATTTGCAATAAATAGTTTAATAATGGCGACATTTCTTTAAATTGATATTAAAGGTAAATATCACTCGATCATAGACGCAGTCATTAGACAGACAGGTGAGAGCCCCGCCCACAGAGATGACATCACAGGAAGTGAGGTGTTTACCTTCACAGTCAGGAAGGCGATGTTGTCGAACTCTTTGACGAAGCCTCCGACCTGCCGACCGTTCACATCGTTAAAGAGCCAGGGACGCCTCTGCACCTCCACCTGAAACACAGGTAACACACACACACAGCTGAAACACTGGTAACACACAGGTAACACACACACAGCTGAAACACAGGTAACACACAGACAGCTGAAACACCGGTAACACACAGGTAACACACACACAGCTGAAACACTGGTAACACACAGACAGCTGAAACACAGGTAACACACACACACCTGAAACACAGGTAACACACACACACAGCTGAAACACAGGTAACACACAGACAGCTGAAACACCGGTAACACACAGGTAACACACACACAGCTGAAACACTGGTAACACACAGACAGCTGAAACACAGGTAACACACACACACCTGAAACACAGGTAACACACACAGCTGAAACACTGGTAACACAGGTAACACACACAGCTGGTAACACACAGGTAACACACAGGTAACACACACAGCTGAAACACTGGTAACACACAGGTAACACACAGGTAACACACAGGTAACACACAGGTAACACACACAGCTGAAACACTGGTAACACACTGGTAACACACAGGTAACACACAGGTAACACACAGGTAACACACACAGGAAGCAACACACACATGAGACACACAGGTAATACACAGGTAACACACACAGCTGAAACACTGGTAACACACACGGGTAGCACCACACACACCTGAGACACACGGGAAGCAACACAGGTAAAACCACACAGGTAACATATACGGGTCGCACCACAAACACACACACAGGTAAACACACACACACCTGAGGAACAGGTATAATGTTAAAGTTACCTGTTGCTGCAGAGACTCCACAAACCACTCGTCCCCCATGAAGTTACAGGCCATGTCCACGTCCCCGTTATACACCAGGACACGGTACTTCTGCAGAAGAACATCAGCCAATCAGAGCATTAGCCAATCACAGCAGATCTTCAGCCAATCACAGCTAAACAAACACTTTTGAACTCCATTTTAATTGGATGACGGATTTTAGTGATGGTTGGTCTGGATCTGAAGCCCTCAGAGGGACTGAGAATGGACAGGTGTGAGATCAGGTGAGGACAGGTGTGAGGACAGGTGTGTTTACTGAACAGGTGTGAGAACAGGTGTGTTTACTGACCAGGTGTGTTTACTGACCAGGTGTGTTTACTGACCAGGTGTGTTTACAGGTGTGTTTACTGACCAGGTGTGTTTACAGGTGTGTTTACAGGTGTGTTTACTGACCAGGTGTGTTTACTGACCAGGTGTGTTTACTGACCAGGTGTGTTTACAGGTGTGTTTACTGACCAGGTGTGTTTACTGACCAGGTGTGTTTACTGACCAGGTGTGAGAACAGTGTGTTTACTGAACAGGTGTGAGAACAGTGTGTTTACTGAACAGGTGTGAGAACAGTGTGTTTACTGAACAGGTGTGAGAACAGGTGTGTTTACTGACCAGGTGTGTTTACTGACCAGGTGTGAGGACAGGTGTGAGAACAGTGTGTTTACTGAACAGGTGTGAGAACAGGTGTGTTTACTGACCAGGTGTGTTTACTGACCAGGTGTGTTTACTGACCAGGTGTGTTTACTGACCAGGTGTGAGGACAGGTGTGTTTACTGACCAGGTGTGAGGACAGGTGTGTTTACTGACCAGGTGTGAGGACAGGTGTGTTTACTGACCAGGTGTGAGGACAGGTGTGTTTACAGGTGTGTTTACTGACCAGGTGTGTTTACAGGTGTGTTTACTGACCAGGTGTGAGGACAGGTGTGTTTACTGACCAGGTGTGAGGACAGGTGTGTTTACTGACCAGGTGTGAGGACAGGTGTGTTTACTGACCAGGTGTGAGGACAGGTGTGTTTACTGACCAGGTGTGTTTACAGGTGTGTTTACTGACCAGGTGTGTTCACAGGTGTGTTTACTGACCAGGTGTGTTCACAGGTGTGTTTACTGACCAGGTGTGTTTACAGGTGTGTTTACTGACCAGTGCAGAGAGCAGCTTCAGGTACTGCTTCCTGACGTCCATGTAGAGACGGCCGTAGTTCAGGTTCACCTCCGAGCTGCAGCACAGGGTTACAACTTTATTTAAACAGCCGAGGCAGACACAAAACAACTTTCCAATATCGACAGGTGACCTACAGGTGTGTTAATTACTGCCACTTCGCTTTAATTTGTTTACCATGGTGTACCTGTCTGTTATTTGTTTTTATTATTAATAAAGTGTGCCTACTTTAATATGCAAGTCTATTCGGTGTTACAGGTGCGCAGTTTTACAGGTGTGTAATGTTACAGGTGTCCAGTGTTACAAGTGTGTTACAGGTGTGTAATGTTAGAGGTGTCCTGTGTTACAGGTGTGTTACAGGTGTGTAATGTTACAGGTGTCCAGTGTTACAAGTGTGTTACAGGTGTGTAATGTTAGAGGTGTCCTGTGTTACAGGTGTGTAATGTTAGAGGTGTCCAGTGTTACAGGTGTGTTACAGGTGTGTAATGTTAGAGGTGTCCTGTGTTACAGGTGTGTTACAGGTGTGTAATGTTAGAGGTGTCCAGTGTTACAGGTGTTACAGGTGTGTAATGTTAGAGGTGTCCAGTGTTACAGGTGTGTTACAGGTGTGTAATGTTAGAGGTGTCCAGTGTTACAGGTGTTACAGGTGTGTAATGTTAGAGGTGTCCAGTGTTACAGGTGTGTTACAGGTGTGTAATGTTAGAGGTGTCCTGTGTTACAGGTGTGTTACAGGTGTGTAATGTTAGAGGTGTCCTGTGTTACAGGTGTGTTACAGGTGTGTAATGTTAGAGGTGTCCTGTGTTACAGGTGTGTTACAGGTGTGTAATGTTAGAGGTGTCCAGTGTTACAGGTGTGTTACAGGTGTGTAATGTTAGAGGTGTCCAGTGTTACAGGTGTGTTACAGGTGTGTAATGTTAGAGGTGTCCTGTGTTACAGGTGTGTTACAGGTGTGTAATGTTAGAGGTGTCCTGTGTTACAGGTGTGTTACAGGTGTGTAATGTTAGAGGTGTCCTGTGTTACAGGTGTGTTACAGGTGTGTAATGTTAGAGGTGTCCAGTGTTACAGGTGTGTTACAGGTGTGTAATGTTACAGGTGTCCAGTGTTACAAGTGTGTTACAGGTGTGTAATGTTAGAGGTGTCCTGTGTTACAGGTGTGTAATGTTAGAGGTGTCCTGTGTTACAGGTGTGTTACAGGTGTGTAATGTTACAGGTGTCCAGTGTTACAGGTGTGTTACAGGTGTGTAATGTTACAGGTGTCCAGTGGTATCGGTGTGTTACAGGCAGTGGTTGCGTTAGACTTTTTCGTTGTCTGTCATTTTGACGGACAGGATCGTAACATTTCCGTCATAATCCATTATTACCCGTCATTTTATTTTTCATGTTTTAATGATGAGACATATTTAATATTTATGTTTGGGTACTAAGCAGCAAATGTTCATTCATTCCTTTTTTTTATGATTCATACAGAACTTTTAAGGGCATGGAGAAAAACAAAGATGAACAGAGACACCGACCGTGCGGTCACTTTTCATGTCGAAACGAATATGAATGATTTATTTTTTCCTTGCCACTTGCTTGTCCCTCTGCTGCTGGCTGAACGTTGTCAGTGTTAGTCTTACTGGCTTGTCCTTCATCCTCCACTGCATCAATCCCTCTTCTTTCACCTCGTTTATCCACACCATCACAATTACTGGGCTTATTAAAAAAGCTTCGGACACTCAGCTGCCGTGACATTTTGCGATTGCTAAAGCCGGTTAAACAACGAGGAAATCAACGAGGTCAAATACAAGACTAGACAATAGCTACTTAATATGCACACACTCGCCACCAACTGGACAGGGGTGTGAATTACTAAATAATAGTTAAAGTAGAGTACAGTAGATCGCCCTCAGTCGACCTGGCCATAAGGATGTAATATAATGTGGGCCGCTGGTGGACATTTTGGCGCTGTTCCGAGTTGTGTTCTAATCTGTCAAAATGACGGACTGCTTTCAGAGTTTTCCGTCATTCTTGGAAAAATTACGTCATAGACGGAAAATATTCGGTTAACGCGACCTCTGGTTACAGGTGTGTAATGTTACAGGTGTCCAGTGTTACAGGTGTGTTACAGGTGTGTAATGTTAGAGGTGTCCAGTGGTACCGGTGTGTTACCTGCAGATGACCCAGTCCAGAGCCTTGGGGCTGATGTGCAGAGCAGCTCTGACTAACTTGTTGTTCAGGTAAAGGGAGCAGGGGGTGGAGTTAGTGCAGGGGGGGTCCAGCCTCACAGACAGGTGACGAGACGCCAGACCTCGTAACTTCTACACACACACAAACAGTAAGAGAAGGAGCTTCCGTCAGACAGGTGAAGGACCTCTAACATTTATTATTTTTAATGTTATTATAGTTTACTTATAATAGTTCTAGTGTTTTTTTTTTATTTATTTTTTACTTTTATGTACGCACCATGACACCAAGTCAAATTCCTCGTGTCAGCCTACCTGGTAATAAACCCGTTTCTGAATATATTTGTATGCATGCTTCCTAGTTAACATGGAGCTGTCTTCGGCTCTTTTCTGCTCTAACAAATGCAAATGTCCCCTCTGTGGGACGAATAAAGGGATTCTGATCCTGACATGAACACCTGTCCTCACCTGGCTCCACAGCTGAGTCGACTGATGGTTGATGAACGAGTTCCCCAAGTCTCTGATCACCAGCTGCCCCTTATCAATACTGAGGAACAAACAGGAAGTCAGCTGTTACACCTGCGGGAGGTGAGCTTAGAACAGTAGCTGAAGACTCGAGGGTCAGGTGTTAAAGTAAAAAATACATGAGTTACATTTTCACCCAAATTTAGGACAAGAGAGGTTAAAGGTCACAGCTCACCTGAGTCTCTGGACTCCACCTGGACAGGGAGCGTACAGGTTGTACATGTTGAGACCTGAACTGTAGACGATTGTCTGAACATCACCGATCTGCAGGAGAAACACCCGGTTAAAAGGTCTGCTCTTATTCTGTTTTTAGGCATATATTATAGGTCTCAGATATAAACAAAACATGTCAGGGTTTCTGTTAGCCGGTAATTACCGGTGTTTAGCTGGTAACATTTATTAAAAAAACAGTAAATTCAAAACCTGCCGTTCAAAATGTCCGGTAATAATTAGGGATACTCCGATCGATTGGCCGCCGATCATTATCGGCCGATATTCACTCTTAATAGTTTGATCGGTGCTCTCTATAAAGGCCGATCAGGAGAGCTGGATCTGATCAATATGGACATAAACGCGAGTGAAGTTTAACCGGACGAGAGAGAGAGATCAGATCAGCTGCTGAGTCTGACAGAGACACGCAGCTCTGCATTATCACCTGAAGCCCCGCCCACTGTTTAGCTGCATGAGAAACAGATGGGCTGTCAGGAGAGAGGGAGAGTTTATTTCCTGACACTTTGTGAGTCTCCTGACACACCGGGGACGCACCGGGGACGCACCGGGGACGCACCGGGGACGCACCGGGGACGCACCGGGGACACACCGGGGACACACCGGGGACACACAGTGATGTAGAGAAGACATCAGATAGTGCATGATAGGAGAGCTTTAAAAACACAGGTACGTGTCAGGTATTGTCGTGGCTTCCTTCCTTATTTTTCTATAAAGCCACTAGACGCCTTCAACTGAGCCTCGACGGCCCATCACTGTCCCTTTAGAGAGAGGCCCATCACTGTCCCTTTAGAGAGAGGCCCATCACTGTCCCTTTAGAGAGAGGCGCCGTGGGAATTGTAGTCTTTTATACTCTGGTTAACTACAGACGTCACGGTAAAGTGGCCTTTCTTATAAAAACGAAATACTGGCTGGCTGTCTGTCTGTCTGTCTGTCTGTCTTCTGTCTGTCTGTCTTCTGTCTGTGAGGGATTGTGTCTCTCCTGGTGTTCAGCAATATTCACATTGTTACCAATCTTTCTATAAAGTGAAGATTTGTTTCGCTCCATGCTCTGATCGATTAACTGCATGCTGTTGAAGAAACCCAATAAAATACTGCCTGGAGGTCTGAAGGGGTCTGGAGGTCTGAAGGGGTCTGGAGGTCAGGAGGTCTGAAGGGGTCAGGAGGTCTGAAGGGGTCTGGAGGTCTGAAGGGGTCAGGAGGTCTGAAGGTCAGGAGGTCTGAAGGGGTCAGGAGGTCTGAAGGGGTCTGGAGGTCTGAAGGGGTCTGGAGGTCTGAAGGGGTCTGGAGGTCTGAAGGGGTCTGGAGGTCTGAAGGGGTCTGGAGGTCTGAAGGGGTCTGGAGGTCTGAAGGGGTCTGGAGGGGTTTAGACTCACGGCGGCGGAGCAGTTGTGGTTCTTGTTGCTGTAGAAGTTGCACGTCCCCTCTCTGCAGCAGAACGCCTGCAGCTCGCTCCACAGGAGGCTTCCCAGCAGCCCGTGGTAATAGGCAAAGTAAACCAGAGAGTTGTCGTTCATCTCGTAGCTCGACAACCCGTTTCCCACGGCAATGCCCTGCGACACACGTGACTCAGTGTTAGCAATGTAAGATAATAAAAAGAGACATGGCACTGTACATGGCATTAGAGAAATTAAAAGACTAGAAATAAACTGGACGTCGATTTTGAGAAAGGGTCAGAATTTTGATTATTATTATGATTTCCTACAAGAACTGGTATTCCTCCATCTTGTGACTGTGTAACTCCCTCTCTTGGATATCAGCATGTGAAGGACACTGTTCAGGAACTAGTTGATGCTCTGGATGTGATGACTACTTCCATTCTGGAGAGGATCACAGCTACATGGATCCTGAGATTGAAGCTCAAGATGGACAAAATGTTGACAAAATGTTGTCCCTGGTCAAAATGTTGAGATGTTTGATTAAAAGTCAACATTTTGAGAAAAAGTCAACATTTTTGGATTTTTTATAAAAAGTGACATTCTTTTAGATTTTGAGGAAAAATTCAACATTTTTGAGATTTTGAGAAAAAGACAACATTTTTGAGATTTTGAGAAAAAGACAACATTTTTGAGATTTTGAGAAAAAGACAGAATTTTGAGATTTTGAGAAAAGAACAGAATTTTGAGATTTTGAGAAAAAGTCCGAATTTTTAGATTATCAGAAAAAGTCAGAACCGGTATTCCTCCATCTTGTGACTGTGTAACTCCCTCTCTTGGATATCAGCATGTGAAGGACACTGTTCAGGAACTAGTTGATGCTCTGTATGTGATGACTACTTCCATTCTGGAGAGGATCACAGATACATGGATCCTGAGATTGAAGCTCAAGCCGGAGACCAGGGAGATGTTTCTAACAAGTAGCATCAGTGTTTACCTGCAGGTTGAGGGTGGAGTCCTCCATCACTCTCTCAGCCAGTGTCGGGATGTAGATTCCTCCGTAACTCTCACCTGTGAGGAACAGCTCGCTCTTACTGAACTCTGGAAACAGCCGGAAGAACTCCTTCAGAGCCAGGTAGTTGTTCATCGACACCTGAGGAGGAAATATAAACAAAAACACACTCAGCCTCAGTCCGAGAGCCAATCAGAAACCGAAACTCAGTCTGAGAGCCAATCAGGAGCAGAGACTCAGTCTGAGAGCCAATCAGGAGCAGAGACTCAGTCCGAGAGACAATCAGAAACCGAAACTCAGTCTGAGAGCCAATCAGGAGCCGAAACTCAGTCTGAGAGCCAATCAGGAGCCGAAACTCAGTCTGAGAGCCAATCAGGAGCAGAGACTCAGTCTGAGTCACAGACCTCGGTGTCGTTGGTGGCGTAGTTTTTATCGTCCGAGTACGAGAATCCGACCCCTGCTGGAGACTCCAGGTACAACACGTTGGCAATCTGCAAGGAAACCGTGAACCAATCAGCTTCCAGGAATCACAACAACAACATTGAGATGCTAGGTTTGGTCACATGACTGCCCGCATTTCAATGTAAATACTGCTATATATCAGGGTTTCCGTTAGCCGGTAATTACCGTTTTTTAGCTGGTAACATTTATTAAAAACCGGTAAATTCAAAACCTGCCGTTCAAAATGTCCGGTAATAATTAGGGATGCTCCGATCGATTGGCCGCCGGTCATTATCGGCCGATATTCACTCTTAATAGTTTGATCGGTGCTCTCTATAAAGGCCGATCAGGAGAGCTGGATCTGATCCATATGGACATAAACGAGAGTGAAGCATAACCGGACGATAGTAATTACCTGCTAACGGAAACTCTGCTACACAATTATTATTATTATTATTATTATTGAAACATGACCGGTAAGTTTCACATTTGTCCGGTAAGATAAATTCTGTCCGGACATTTGACCTAGCGGAAACCCTGCTATATATATATATATATATATATATATATTTTTTAAACTTAGTTTTTTTCAACAGCATACAGAGCATGCATCAAAAGTAGGTCAACAAACCTTCACTTTATAGAGAAATAGTAATAATGTAAATACTGCTTAACTATAAAAAAAGATGATGTTATTATAGCTTTCTTAAAATAGTTTTCTATCTGTGTTTTTAATTTTTGTTTGACTTTTATGTCTGCACCACAACTCCAAGTCAAATTCCTCGTACGTGTACCTGGTAATAAACCTGACTCTGAGTCTCACCTTGTTCCAGGAGTACGGGTTGTACTGCAGCGTCGCTCCGTCATCCTGGATCTGAAACAGAAAGGCAAGCAGAGCGTCAAATATTCTGGAAGACCTTCTGGAATATCTTTAATTACACAAATGCTGCCGACTCGTCTCGCTACGACATGCTGCCTACTCGTCTCGCTACGACATGCTGCCTACTCGTCTCGCTACGACATGCTGCCTACTCGTCTCGCTACGACATGCTGCCTACTCGTCTCGCTACGACATGCTGCCTACTCGTCTCGCTACGACATGCTGCCTACTCGTCTCGCTACGACATGCTGCCTACTCGTCTCGCTACGACATGCTGCCTACTCGTCTCGCTACGACATGCTGCCTACTCGTCTCGCTACGACATGCTGCCTACTCGTCTCGCTACGATATGCTGCCTACTCGTCTCGCTACGATATGCTGCCTACCTCACTACGATATGCTGCCGACTCGTCTCGCTACGATATGCTGCCGACTCGTCTCGCTACGATATGCTGCCTACCTCACTACGATATGCTGCCGACTCGTCTCGCTACGATATGCTGCCGACTCGTCTCGCTACGATATGCTGCCTACTCGTCTCGCTACGATATGCTGCCTACTCGTCTCGCTACGATATGCTGCCTACTCGTCTCGCTACGATATGCTGCCTACCTCACTACGATATGCTGCCTACCTCACTACGATATGCTGCCTACTCGTCTCACGATATGCTGCCTACTCGTCTCACGATATGCTGCCTACTCGTCTCGCTACGATATGCTGCCTACTCGTCTCGCTACGATATGCTGCCTACCTCACTACGCTATGCTGCCTACTCGTCTCACGATATGCTGCCTACTCGTCTCACTACGATATGCTGCCTACGATATGCTGCCTACTCGTCTCACTACGAACATGTCAATATGAAAGCAAACATTGAGTTGTTTACAGTAAATATCACCGTTTACTTATTTTATCCGTACAGCTGAATTTAAAGTCAGTGTGTCCCATCCTTTTATACAGGATCCCATAATGCTTTTTGGTGCTAGACGTTCCTAAACAATCAGATGTATAGATTTCAGACCCACCAGGTAGGGTCCGTGCTCAGTGAGCAGTCCGTCCAGAGAGCTGCATCCTGGGCCTCCGTTCAGCCACAGCACCAGGGGGTCTGAGGACGGGTCCTTCTGGGACTCCACCAACCTGAACACAATCTGTTAGAGCACTCTGATGCTTTTGTAAAAAGGACAAATATTGTCACTTAATATATAGTATAATAGAATAAAAAAAGACTACATTTCCCAGACTCTTAACCTGTTAAGCCCCAAAGCCCCCGTCGGCGGGTTTTTATTAAAAATTTTAATTAATTTTTTTAATTTTAATTGTTTTTCTTTGGATGGAATGAATACCTATGGTGATAATTCAATGTAATACATCATTTTTATAGTCTGGTACCTGAAAAAGGTCAAATGGCACTGATGGAACCAGATGTACCCAAATGTGCCGAAAGCTTATTCCGCCTGGAACTTCTTTTTGCTAAACCTCTCTAAAAAGGTCAAATTTAACTTGTTTTGCATCAATCTTGATACAGGGTACTTATTATATGTTATAGTTTGGATTCCTAAAGCTTGTAGTCTACCATCCCATCATTCAAGGGTGGTTTTCACTATAAGTAATGTTTTTTCTTTAGGCGGAGGTAAGAATTTACCTTTTTTTTACTATGTTCCATCTGAATTTACTCTGACTGAGAAACATTTATATTGATTCTGACACTTCTACATCCAACTCACAGATGTAACCTTGCTTTGATAAAAGAAATTATTCATATAACCCTTTTAGAAGTGAAGTTGTAGTCATTTGTTTTGGGCATGTCATTTTCGAGCCTGAAACCTGAAAAACAGGCTCGGGGCTTAACAGGTTAAAGGGACACAGAGACACAGAGACACAGAGACACGCACTGTACATAATGTTCAATCTAATATTTAATAATCCATTCCTCACACACTTAATGTATATATAATATCCTGCTTTATATTTTGTTACTGTACATTTGTATTTCCACATGTATTTTTTCTACTTTTTGTCATGCTATTTGAGATGTTTACATTTCAGATTGTTTATTTCTAGTCTTTTCATTTCTCTAATGTTCAAAGCCTTGTCTTTTTACGCTGCTGCCACGCAAACATTTACCAAATTGGGATGAATAAAGTACTTCTTAAAAGTCTCTCAGTCCTCACCAGTAGTGCAGATGTTTCCCGTCGGCCACGTTCAGGTATCCAGAGAAGTGTCTGAAGCTCGGCTGTTTCTGAAGGCCGGGGAGGAACTTCACCTCGTCTGCAGCCGGCGCTGCCATGACAACCAGCAGAGAGGAGAGGAAACAACACAACAACAGCACCATCTGAAACACAACAGGAAGTGATTTACTATCATCCGAACCGATCACAAGAAGCTACTGATTTTCAACATGTTTTAGTCTTGACTTGTTTATTGACAACGGAAGAGGGTTAGAGCCAAATGAGAAACACAAAATTGGAATGTGACCAAAAAAAGTGAACATTATGAAAAGAAAGTAAGAAGTCCGAGAAAGAAAGTCAGACATTCTGAAACTGAACATTATGGAAAAAGTGAAAAAAAGTCTGGAAAAAAAAGTAAAAATTCGGAGAAAGTAAATAATTCGGCAAAAGTAAAAGAAATTACAGTAAAAATTCTGAGAAAATCCCGTTTTGATTCTATTTTGAGATGTTTAAATTCTAGTATTGTTTATTTCTACTTATGTGCAATGCCGTATTTTTTTTAATGCTGCTGCAATGCAAACATTTCCCAATTTGGGATCAATAAAGTACTTCTTATCTTATCTTAAAAAGTAAAAATTCTGAAATTAAAGTAAACATTTAGGAAAAAAAGTCAGTATTCTAGAATTAAAGTGGACCTATCATGCTATATTTAAATGATATATTGTAGGGCCATACCTATATAAGGTATATTTATACGTTTCTGTTTTCAAAATACCAAACAGATCATGCATTTTAGCCATGCCTCATTTCTCTCCATGTGCTGTTTGCTGTCTACGGGTCTGATTCTGCTGACCACGCCCCCCTGCAGGAGAGGTGAGCCGTGCTCTGATCAGCTGCTGGGCTGTCAGAAGAGGGGGAGAAAAAGAGATCTCTGTCCTCCGTGTTTTATTATATAGAGTCGTTATTCATTTGTTTTAAAGCTCAATAAATAACAAAGAAGACCTTTGACCGGCACTTTTTCTCATTTTGGTCCGGAAGATTTAAACTTTAACGGACATCTTGACCGGCGAAAGAAACTGAAACTGAAACTCTGCCGCACGGTCCCCTCGTTCCTTGGAAGAGGCGGAGAGGTGGGTGTTTGTCATCTGCTGGTGGACTAACCGGAGAGAATTACAGTGCTTGCCTCGACGGGGAGGGATTGCATTGAATTAAAGCAGCGGGAGCAAACCAAGCCCCCAGGAAGTGCGCCGGACTCAGATGAAAATATTCGTGGTGGCCAAACGGCGGTACTACACTTCCTTTTGGTTGCCAGGCCCGGAAACACTTTTTCCCATTGACTTACATGGGGAAAGAGTGGTCTGTAAATCGTTGGATAATTTGTTTTAAACTAAATAAACTACCCAGTATGAACACTTGTATAGCCCTTATTAAAAACATTCGTTCCTCAAGTTGTAAAAATGTGCTAATAACGTTATTCTGAGAGTTATTTCCCTCTGCATTATGAACGCGCATCTAACCCACGGGACCGCGCCGCCCGGCACGTTCATGTTACGTGTTCAGCACTACATGCGTTTATCTTTACCCATGGATGCACAATAAGAACGGACCCATATCGCCTTACTGCCAGCCCACGGAGCTGTAATAATGGATATATTGCACATGTTTGCTGTAATTCATCATTTGTAAAATATTATACTACATGGGCTGTATGATTAAATCTTGTATTAAATAAAGTTAATATTACCGACGTAGATTAACGTCCCTGTAGCTTCTTATTGAACTTGCAATATACCATTAAAGGAGTTGAACGTTGCGGTTTGCTATTACTGTAATACCACGCAGGGATAAACCAGAGTTTACAACCTTTGCATGTGGGCACAACACGTTTGACCCAGATCAATTAGCTATACCATGATCTCGCCCGAGGAAGTCGTCATACTTATACATATATAAAGATATGTGTCAAATCAAATTAACAGTTGTATTAATTATACTTGTATATGTATGTGTATGTATATATATATGTATGTGTATGTATATATATATATATACACACATATACAGTTGTATTAATTATACTTGTATATATATATACACAGTTGTATTAATTATACATATATGTATATATATTAGGGCTGTCAGTCGATTAAAATATTTAATCGCATGATTGTCCATAGTTAATCGCGATTAATCGCAAATTAATCGCACATTTATCTGTTCTAAATGTACCTTAGAGGGATATCTTTCAAGTTTTTAATACTCTTATCAACATATGAGTGGACAACTATGCTTTATATG